CTTTTATAAGAGTATTATTCCCACTCATGAGGCCCCCACCCCCATGACCTAATCACCTCCCAAAGGCCCCACAACCTAATACCATCACCTTGGGGGTTAAAATTTCAACATAAGAATTTAGGAGAACACAAACATTCAGACCACTGCAACAACAGATTAAATGCAGAAGAAAATGTGAAAATCCATTAGGTCAGACATTAGATTTATAAAAATGTAAAAACGGTACTACTAAAAAAGGTGAAGGAGTTTTAGAAAACGTAGTTACTTTTCATTTAAAAAATTTTACCTTAACATGTAATGGGTTTATTGCTGCTTTAAAAAACTAAGTGCATTTCTTAGTTTTAATTCTTACTATAGTAAACACCAATAGATAAAACTCACAGAAAAACAAAAGTTCTTTAGGGTCCTCAATAATTTTTAAGCATGTAAGGAGGTTGTATAACCAAAAAATTTGGGAACCACTGATTTAAAACTAAGGAAAAAAGGCATTTATCAATTTTAAAAATGAGGTCATAAATAGTTATATTTTAGCTACAAACACAAGTGTCCTTCAAAGTAAAACTCAGCAAAGAAACAGTCCCAGCAGTTAAATATGTTTTATGTTTTAATACTCAGTTTTATGTTTTAATACTGTAAAAGCCAACAGGTATAACCCATATTAACATAAGCTCTCTGGAGTCCTCAAATCATTTTTTACAGTACAAGATGTGAGATCAAAAAGTTCAAGAAGTACTAATTTAAACCATCACTAAATGTGTATTTCCCTTGAGTTTCTAATATACCTTCCTAGGTTACTTCTGCAGAGAAATGCAAAGTACTACCTAATACTTCCAGTATATGTTTGCAAACTACCTCACAGAAATCCTTAAAAACATAACACATTAGTTACTAAAAGTTCGACCTCCAGTTTCATGCAATACAGTACCCACTAACTCCTTAGAATAAATTTATTAAGAGCTCCCTGTATACTCGGCCCTATGCATTCTAGGGAAATTATTACTTTACTTTTCTTTTATCCAAGGTAGATAATCAAAGAATGTATTTTACATTTCTTCTGTCCTGGAACACTGACACATTTGCTATACAGTTGACCCTTGAACAAATGCAGGGATTGGGGTACTGACCCACCTTGCAGTTGAAAATTCATGTGTAACAGCTGGCCCTGCAGAACCCACATATATGAAAAGTCAGTCCTCTGTTTATGTGGGTTCTGCCAGCTGTACTTATTGGGAAAAAAATCTAGATATAAGTGGACCTGTGCAGTTCAATCTGTGTTGTTCAAAGGTTTCCTGTATGTAATTTTAATCATATTAAATTAAGCATTCAAGAAAACTCAATCTTGCTTCTAAATCACCAATTATTCAACATTTAACACTTTACTGAGTGCCTATTCTGTGGTAAACACTATTCTAAGTGTTATAAATACAGGAGTGAATAAAATCCTGCTGTCATGGGGTTTACATTCTAGTACTGGAAAACGGACAATAATAACTATATGTTACATGATTATAACTGTTATGTAATAGAATAGAGTCTATTTAGGGAGAATAGGGGATGGGAAGACATCACTGAGAAAGTGACATTTGAGCAAAGAATTGAGAGAGGTGAGAGAACTATGCAGATATCTAAGGGGACATCTATCCAGACAGAAGCAACAGTCAATGCAAAGGCTCACAGGTGAAACATGACTAGTGAATTTGAGGAATTCTGCTATGGCCAGAGGAGAAAGAACAAAGGGAAGGCAGCCAAGAGATTTATTTTTTTTTTAAAAAAAAAGGTAAGGCAGTTGGTGGGGGGAAGCAGATTGTGTACAGCATCTTATAGGTCATTTAAGAATTTTGGCTTCTACTGTAAAGTGTGAACACACTGAAGGGATTTCAGCAAAGGAATGAAATGATTTGAGTTTTTTTAAAATAATCAATATGTAGTACTAATCAAATCAACTGGACTCAGTGACGTATTTTTATATGTTAAGAAAACGAGTAGCTTAAGTGGACTGCTTGAGATCAGAAATAATATAGCTCAAAAAGACAACTTTAAAAAAAAAGATCTTGGCATCTAAACCTAATCATTCTTTCTGAAAAGCCAATCAAAAGCAGTTGTTTCCTCTAACTAGCTGTATGTTTCATTCTGCTTCAGTTTTTCATTTGCTCATCTTTATTAAGCACTTATGAAATGTATGCATTTTGATTTACTTTTAATTAAGCACAGGACACATCTATAAATATCAATCTTTGGTGTCTATCTCTAGCTGTAATAATATCTGCAAAAATAAAGTTGCATGAAAATAAATGTAAAAATAGGTAATTTTAAAAAATTTAACACAAGCACCTTTAATAACAAATCAGAATAAAAACTGGAAACAGTCTAAAGATACTATGGCTATTTTTAGTTTAAAGAGAAACAAGAGTTAAATTCTTAACATTTGCATAAATAAGTAAATCTCAACTAAAAAACAGCAGCTCTCTCAACCATGATGAGATGTAAAGGGCTTTATATACCTGAAAAGTACTGTACTAACTATAATGTTTAATTAATAAAGCAATAGATACCACCAAAAAAGTAGTCATATGCACTTTTTAACCTTTATACAATCAATCAGCCAAAACTAAAATAAAAAGGAAACGTATAAATGTTAACTGAAATATATATATAAATACTATCAGTAAATCTAGAAGACCACTGTGGTACACACATCTGTTTCTGCTGCCCAATATCCATACCTACTTCTTTTGATAATAGCCCACTGTTGTCCTGTGGGAACCCAGCTCCTCCTTCCATTCCACATGGTCCTGGCAGACACATAAATTACAATGACCAGTTCTACACTGGCCAGGGGAATAGATGCCTGACCCAATTTAGGGCAGACCCCCTCCCCGCTGCCCTGGAGAAATCTAATCATCTTGTGCAGAATGACAGACAGAAGGATATAGTGGAATTCTCACAGCAATAGTCACATGCTAAAGAGATTGTTCCATGAGCCTGTCTTACTAAATTCCACAGAGCTGCACACGTTACATCTGCCTGACCCAATTTAGGGCAGACCCCCTCCCCGCTGCCCTGGAGAAATCTAATCATCTTGTACAGAATGACAGACAGAAGGATATAGTTGGAATTCTCACAGCAATAGTCACATGCTAAAGAGATTGTTCCATGAGCCTGTCTTACTAAATTCCACAGAGCTGCACACGTTACATATTTGCTTTTCCTTTTGATTCTGCAATCTATCCTTCTTATTAACAAATTACCTTTTTTCTTTACAGTAACCAGGGTCTGTTTCTATGACTTGCAATTAAAGAATCCTGACAACCACTAAATTTCCAATGAGTCTTTTTAAAATGAGTGTGTTGGGGAAAGGAGGATCCTCTACAAAATTAGACAGATGATCAAAGAGAAAAAACTATTAGTAACACCCATTTGAAAGAATAATTAACCTTGCTGGTAATTAAATAAATAAAAACACCTAATGAATTCACTCCTCTAAATCAGCACTGTCCAAAAGAAATTTCTGCAATGATAGAAGTGCTCTATATCTGCACTGTCCAACGTGGAGTCACTTGCCACATATGGCTACTGAGCACTAGATATATGGACAGTACAACAGTGATACTAATTTTTAAGTTTTATTTAATTTTAATGTCTACGTCATAAGTAGCTAGTAACCACGTTATTAAGAGAACACCCATTTAAATCTAGTGTTATCCAGTTCTCAAGAAAATATTGCTAATGGCAACGTAAATTGGGTCAAGCCCTTTAAGTAATCTGGAAATACTTACCAAAACCCATACACTTCACCCATAGTTCATTTTTTGAGCTCATTAAATCTAACCAAATAATTCAAAAGAATGAAGAAGACCAAAAAACAAAGGTTTTTTTCAGTAGTATAGTACTGACAAGCTAGCTGAAACAACTCACAATGGCCAGAAAAAAGAATGATAGTTAAGATATAGTTAAATATCTTAATATATAGTTAATACATATCTTAATATATAATGAAAATATAGTTAAGAAGCCACCACCAAAAAAAATTAGAAGGTAACCAGAAAAGCATAAGCAAAATGTTACAAATCAGGCAAGAGTGAATAAACATTTAATATATCATAATTATAATCATGTTTGAAGAAATCATACATAATATAAAGATCAAAGAGCCCACAGAAAAATGTAATAGTTGTATTTAGCAGTATACATTTTGATTACTTCATAATTTTTCTAAATGACATTGGACAGCTCCTCCCTTAGATATTACCAGTTATTTTTAAATGGCATTTTGTTTTCTGACTCAAATTATTACCACCTCTGCTTTTTCACCACCATTTCACTGAACACAAATATAATGAAAAATATCTAGTAGACTAAATATATAGCTGTGCCTCCCTAATTAGAAAGAGTTGTAAACCATGGAGATTTACAGAGAATGAGCACAGAATTTAGCAAACCTAGAGCTACGTATGGAGAGTTCTTGAATTCTCTAAAGCTTGCTGAATAGTGTGTCCAATAGTTCTAGCTATACGCTGGGACAGTGCCTCCAGCCTACCATATTAATTGAATTTACCGAGCATGCTATATAAACATTGATGTTTTATACATGAAAAGGATTGGAAAGTACTATCTTAATGGATCACAGAGTTCCATCCATACAGCCTAGTTCAATCTAGCTGCAGCCTAGAAGCTGGAAATACAAGTCAATTTAGCCACTGTCTCCTTCTCCTACTTCAAAGATTCTGAAATTTTACCCAATCCCACTAACAAGCTAATACAAAAACAAACTTTAAGAAGAAATATATGTTAGAGGTCATATTTTTGAAGAAATGTATAAATACTAATAGCTGAAAATTCCTTACAAGGTCACTTCTTTAGAATTTTCTTCTTTCCTTTTTCATACACAAATGCCAATCTTTCACATACAGTTACAATTTGTGTTGTTTAGTACTTCAGTGAGTCTGTATCTGGAATGAAATGGCCAAAAACTTAAGTTCATTCAACTGAAGTATTATTACCTTGTTGCTGCAACACTATTTGTTTCCAGGATATTTTCAGTCATCCTCAACTGTACCACCTGTGGCATATCGTTTGATTTTTCTGCACCCTCTTGTGGAAGTTCTTCTATATGTTCCAGCTTTTCATCTTCCTCTTCCTCCTCAGAAAGTTCATTAACCTTTATAAATAAAAGGAAATTTGGAATTGTAATTTAATGAAACTGGTAATGACACATCTAAGACATACCATTCTAAGAAAATTTTAATACAAACAACTCATATTTTATTTCCTCATTTCCTAGGACCAATCGCTCTTATGGAGCAAGTAGCCACCAACTTTTTCATATCAAAATAAAATTGTAAACCAGACAAACATAACATTTTGAAGCAGGAAGTAATGACTGCATTAGCACATCACTATGAATATGAACAAGACTGCAAACTATGAAAAAGCCTACACACTGTACTTAATATTAAGAAAGCTTCATTTTCTAACCAATTTTGTAAATCTAATAGTTAAAAAAGACTTCCAATTAATCTAATTTCTAGGTGAATTAAATTATTTTAATGCAGAATAAGTATGGAAAAAGAAGGGCACAAAAATTTTGCTTTAAGGTGTTCGCTACATATTAGAAAATGTCAGTTAACTTTCAAATGATTCAAACTGAATTTTTCATGAAGAAATGGAACCCTACAACAAGAACTCATGCTTTGACCATTAAGTACAACTGCAGGTTATAATTATCTTTCTGGCAGGGGCTGTAAAATATCCTCCATCATCAAACTGGCTACATAACTAATCACTCTAATTAAAAAGAACACTGAAATATTAGAGAAGAAAAACCAGCAAAATATTTTTGAAGTTATCACTAAGAAACTACCTATAAATTGTCTTAATATCTTTTATAAATTCAAATTAGCCATTAAAAACACTGAGCAATAAGGGCTGGCCCAGTGGCGCACTGGAGAGTGCGCCGCTTAGGAGCGTGGTGGCGCTCCTGCTGAGGGTTCGGATCCCATGTGGAGACCGGTTCCCGCTCACTGGCTGAGCGCAGTGCGGGCGCAACACCAAGGGTTGCAATCCCGTTGCCAGTCCCCGGTACGGGCGCGACACCGAGGGTTGCGATCCCGTTACCGGTCAGTAAAAAAGAGACAAAAAGGGGGAAAAAAAACACTAAGCAATAAAAGTATACTTTTTATCCATTCTAGCCAAATGCAGTAACAAAAGCCTAGAATAAATTTGTTTACTAATACGTGTAACAGTGGTGTTTTCCTGATGCACATACAAATACAGTTGCTAGAATACTGTCAGAAAATAAAACTGCAACCAAAAGAAAGGTAATTATACAGTAATATTCTATCACACTCCTAATCAACAAGTACAGATCGCCTACATTAAAATACAATACTGTACAGTAATTAAATGCCAGGCTTTAGAGGCAGAAAGAGTCACACATCCCTACTTGCCCCTATCTCTGGCAATTTACTTAACTTCTCTAAGCCTTATATGTAAAATGAAGATGCTGTACTACCTATCTCACAGAACTGGTTAAAAAGATTAAATAATACATGTAAACTTCAGCAGAATCTATAGATAATAAACAATAATAACTATCATTATAACTGGAATAGATCCTAGTTTCTACATGTAGCAACATTTTTTATAATAAATGAAGAGAGTATCTACCATTCAAACTACCTAAATCAGGAGCTCTCATCTATCCCTTATCATGTATAATGGTGACAAAAAGAAGACTGAACATCATTGACCTAAGTGGTTATTAACTAAGAGGTAAGATTTATACACGAAGGTGAAAACCTCAAATGACAGATCAGTTTTTAAAGTGGATCAAATGAAAAAAAATAATAAAGTGGATCAAATGGAAAATTATCCTTTCCCCATCTGTGTATTTAATAATTAGTGAAAGCCAAGAGAATGTACTTAATCAATATCCACCTGGTAACCTAAACAAGAAAAACACTGGCAAAAAAAATGAGAATTATTGTGGATGATTAATAAAAGCTTGGGCACACAGCAGAATACCAAAAAAATTTTAAAGATGGTCTTTTCAACTGAGAATAGATGAACATTATTTGGTCCACACATTTTTGGTATAGAGGTACTACAATTTTAACATACATTACACTTGTAAAAATCCTTTTGTGTTTACAGTCAATAGCCCTTAGGAACTATAAAAGCTTTATACTAAATTATACTGAATATATTACATTCAATTCAATATGCTTTATGTAAATTAATTGACATTCTCTAGTATTTTCACCAGTAATCATCAACTAAGATATAACACAAACAACAGCCTGTCGGTTTTCATTCTCCCTCCTCCCAACTCCCAGGTCTCCCCATGTAACTTCCTGAGGTATGAATTGACTTAGATTAAAATGTTCTCTCATCCCATACTAATCTTCAAAAGTTTTTCTTGATCCTCTTCTTGTCAACCTGACCTGTTTATCAACATTCTATTCTGTTCATAGGTTATTTTGAACTTGCCCTATGTATGCAGCTGCCTCAACTCCACTTATGGAAAACCCTCATCCATACTTACATCTCTTCTTTCTTTGACTGATGTAATTCCCTTCTCTAGGGCCTCGTGAAATGCCTGCTCTCCAGACTCCAGCTTGTGGAGAACGCTGCTACCTGCCTTCTCAAACGTATAAAGAAACATAATTATCACCTCCATCTTCAAACCACTCTACTGGATTCTCATTCATTTAAGGATCCCATACAAAGTCCACTTGACCGTGGGTCATTTCTCAAACACTCCCTATTCATCATCTCTAGCCATCTCTCTCACACTATTTATTTTTTTTTCCCTTTTTGTCTTTTTTCGTGACCGGCAACGGATCACAACCCTCAGTGTCGTGCCCGCACCGGACCGGGACCGGCTACGGGATCGCAACCCTCAGTGATGCTCCCGCACCTCGCTCAGCCAGTGAGCGGCCGGTCTGTATGTGGGATCCGAACCCTCGGCGGGAGCGCCGCCGCACTTCCCAAGCGGCGCACTGTAGCAGTGCGCCACGGGGCCGGCCCCTCTCACACTATTAATAAAAATATCTACTACCTTGAGAAGGATCTAATAGCCAAATACTTGCATTAATGGGATGAAACGCCAAAAGAAGAAAATGCTGGATAAACTTCGCTTCTTTCAAATATCAAAATCAGGAAAAAAAACCAAAGCACTGCCAAGATGGGCCAGGTTTGCATACATCTTTAAATATGTGGATAGGAAATTAAAAGCATTTAAGTTAGGCTAACGTAAAAACACAACCAAACTGTGCTGAATTTGAGGCTATTTTACTTTCACTCAAATACCTTATCAATTCTGCCTAACAAACCAAATTGAAGTTATCAAAGATGTTTAAAAAAAAAAAAATGTTGGGGCTGGCCAGTTAGCTCAGTTGGTTAGAGGGCAGTGTGTTACAACACCAAAGTCAAGGGTTCAGATCCCTGTACAGGCCAGACACCCAAAAAAAATACCATAAATCACTATTGTTGTTACTTATAACTCAGTTATAATCCAGAAATATGATAAAAATAGGTAAGAAAATAGATTCTGGTAATTAGCAACATGGGTCAAGAAAATTAAATATAAAGTGTTACAGCTTTTTAAATTTGTCTAGCAAAAAAAGAAAAAAAGTAATTAAATATACATCACTGTCTCTCAGGACCAACTGCTACCCCTCATTTATTGAGCATGTTCTGTTCAATATGCTAACAACATCCTCTTTTCTATCCACAGGCAAATTTGCAGAATTCAACATTACCTTCTGGTGGCGTTGAACTTAACTACCATTATATTTCATGGAAAGCACAATATATTTAAGTCAATTTTCCTAGTTCATAAAAAAATACAAAAATATGTGGTGCTGATAATATCAAGGTCCAGGGTTCAACCCATGTACAAGTCAGCCACCAAAAAAACCCACAAAAAACAAAAACTGATGTAATATATGTGAGATATACGTATATTTCAGCATATCTGAGCAAACCACAAGATAATAGAAATATTAGAGAATTACACCACAACATAAAACATAATCAACGCATACCCCGCAGACTTTAGAAGAGTCAAGATATAAACATTAGGTCAAGTTGGCATCAGCAGTTTCATGCAAGTCAAATAATCTTAGAAATGTAGAAAATGAATGACACAAACAGATGTATACTCTCTAATTTTGAACAGCTATAAATGTTTTCTAAAACTACTGAACAAAAACATAATTTAAAGGAAAGAAAGGTGGCAATGTCAGAATTCCCCAACAGATGGAATTTCTTATGGATATCAACAGACATTAAAGATTTAGGCATATCTATTTGTCCTCTTCTTGTCATTTTCTTTTACACAAGAATAATTCAGAAAAGATGTATCAGTTCATTTTAAACAAGTTTTTAAGTTAGGAACTGTGTATGATAATTGGAAGCCTTCAAAAAATGTGTCAAATGTTCTCATGTATCACTGATTCAGACTTCAAATTCTACCCACTTACTCTATTTCATACACACAAGCATGCACATGCATGTCAGAGTACTTCAAAAAGTTCATGGAAAATTTGTATTATCTTATAATTCTATTTTTCCACATACTTTTTGAAGTACCCTCATACAAACATACATACACAGACTAATTTCATCCTCAATTCACACATTACAATCTGTAATGTGGCATGTGTAACTGTTTCTTTAAAGTTCCTGATACTTGGGAGAGGGAGAAAAAAGGAAAGGAAGAGGGAGAGGGAGAGAAGGAAAGAAAGGAGAGGGAAAATCTAAAGATAATAGTGCTTCCATGAAGACAACATGAAAAACCAAGGAAGGTACAAACCCCAAATATTAAAACGTATCACCCATAAGAATTCATAAAAGTACAAAAACTCTTAAATACAAGCTGGGCTACCCAGAAAATAAAACTCCTAATTCACATAATCGGATACAAGAACTATCAGAACTAATGGAAATCTGTGTAAGAAACTATTTTTCAAGAAATGCTGCTTTATAATCTCACAGCAAATGAAGGAAAGCAACTCAAATGTCCATATGTCCATCAATAAATAGTATGACCCTATAATTTATCGTTTAAACCTGGATACATCTGAGAGTGACAGAGGAGCTACTAAATATTACACCAGAAGCAGACATAAACCAGGACTATTCTGAGATAGCTTTTCATGTGGGGACTGACTGGTACTATAAACCATATAAATTATAAAGTTCTATCCATATAACAGGGAACTACACAAATGTAGTAAGAATATGCTCTCTAAATTCTAATAAGAAAAGATCTCCAAGATATACTATTAAGTAACATAAAACAAGATGTAGAACAGTGTGCATGGTATGCTACTTTCCTGTTAAGAAAACTGAGAAAATATTTACTTCAGTATGTTAAAAGTAAATGCCTGAATAATTTGCTCATAAACTAAACTCTTCAGCCCTGGGATATCCTTACTGACATGTACTCATTCCTATATTTCTTCTTAATGTAAACTTTCTGATGCAAGTTTCTGAGAGGACACTATAATTTAAAAAAAAAAAAAAAAAACCCCCTGGAAAAAAAAAAAAAAAACCAAAGGGGGGGGGGGGAGGAATATAGGGGAAAAGTGGGTATGGGTGAGAGCAAGACTTTTTACTGTATATTTTACTTTTTTTTTTTAACCAGGTGAATGAATTATTATCCATTAAAAAAAAGTAGCAGCCCTACCCCACATCCAAAATATAAGTAACTTCATAGGTTTTAACCTAATAAAAATTTGGTGGCAAATCACTTCAACTAAGTGCAGAAGAAAAACCTCCACACAGACCTAAATGACAAATTTTAAACCTGAGGAGTCTGGACTAACGTGGCTTTATAATAAATTGTAATTACTCAGCTTTAATATTCCCATTTTATAAAGAGAAAAGTAACTAGGATCCTTGCAGTCTCAACCATCAAGGCATAGCAGTAACAATAAAATATCATAACGCAGCCTTGGAAATGGATTTTCATATTTTAGAATCACCAGAATTAAAAAATTATCTGTATTCTCTACTAATAATCTCCAGATGCTTCCCATTAATGACAATGACTGCACTATTTGACCTGCTATTCTAGTGAAGAAAACTTCAAATCTTTAAAAGTTTGTATTGACTCTTTTCCCCTACCTTAAATTTCTCACCCTTTGCCTACATTCCTCTATGCTAGAATAGTTTATTTGTAAAAACAAAAACACACTATTCTTACAAAATAAACAATTCTTAAGTTAACACACATGCAAAAAATCTTTACCGTATACTCTGTTTTCAATGCCTTCTCCTTATTACCCAAATTGAGGACAGAAAGTTGTTCAGGAAAAAGAAAAATCTCATACATATACTAGACATGGATGTTATCTACTTATTACATATAATAACGAGAGTATTACTTCCAGTTGAGTACTTAAATTCCACATAACTTTGTGCCAAGCCCTTAAACGTATGTTCTTTAAAAAATAATAATAATCCTCCAAATGGATTCTTTAAATATTCTCACCTGTTCAGTAATCGAACTCAAATCATTAGATGAAAAATCTTCCTCTTCATTCTCAAAAAACTCATAGTAATTTTCCAGAAGCCCAGCCATTATCCTGCTCACTATTTCTTGCTCTTTCATATCTTCCACATCTGTGTAAATACTGAGAATAAAAGTCCAAATTGAATTCAGAGTTCTTAAATCAATCACAGGTAAAATTAGAAGACAACCAATGAGTCACTTCATGAACCTGAACAATTTATGTCATCATTCTGTACCTCAGTTTTCCCATCTGTAAAACCTACCTAATTTGTACCCTGTTCACAGAAATGCTGTGAGAATTAATCAGATCTACTATAAAAAATGATGGTTCATCAAGCCTGTGATCTATGGGAGACAATATAATGATTCACAAATCCAATTTTTTAAAAATTAAACAAAAATTTTTGAAACAACTTACTGGAAGACATCTGGACCAAAGACAGCAGCCAAAGAATTTGCAGACCAAATTTCTTCATGATGTGATGCTACATTGGCTAAAAATCTACACAGAAACTTTAACAAACTGTAATTAACAGGTGGAAGCTGCTGCAAGAGGAACCTCAACTTTCTTCCAAATTCATCTTCATTATTATAATCTATAAAAACATAATGACAGGTTTTCTTAATGAAGTAAAAAGCAAAGCTCAGATATTTTGCCAGGTTCACACTACTACACCTACATCATCTTTTCACTACAACAACTCGAACCCTCTTGACTTCCTCTACTAGAGGCCAAATGTTTTAGGGCTTTGCATTTCACTTATTAAGTAGAGAAGAGTGGGAGACAGGAAGGTGAAGAAAAGGAACACACCCGCCTCAATTGCTGGAGGATGTTTTCCTCATCTGTTACTCACTGGCCCCAATTCTCTAATTTTTAAAAAAATTCTCATCGTACTCTCTTGCATGACTGTACCTGTGTTTCCAAACTAGTGCCAACTATAAGCAGTCAAAATGCACTGGCCGTGCCAGTCAACCTGAATTACTAGTGAGAGCAAAGCAGAGATGAAATTCAATGGGCTCATAGTAATCAGTGATACTTTTCTACTGGGATGAATGGGAAAATAAACGAAAACAGCATGACAAAGTGACTTTCTTCTTCCTCTGATATCCTGAAAAGAACAATTTACTTCGGCAATATCAGTAGAACTAAATTAAAAAGTCTTCCATTTCTCATTTGTTTTTCTCCTCTAAACTGATGCTGGTTTCTGTTTATCAAGTAAATGTTTTCACAGAAGCTAGGCCTTGTGCTTATCAGGTCAATGAGTTTTCATGAACTCATGAACAGAAACTAGGCCTATATTAACCGCTTTATGGGTGAGGGCCCCATTTAGGAGAGGTAATTTCTCAGAGGTACTCTCAAAATGAAGTAATTTATTGCTTCAGTAGTGAAAATCGACCCAATTATATTTCATTTTGTATTTTTCTGAAGATCCTTAAAATTAATTTACTGAAAAATTCCCGGTAAAATGTTAAGGTTATGGTACTCACCATCTCTGCAAAATCACACAAGTCTAAAAAGTTTATCAGAAAAGGCTATATACAGTCACACAAGTGTTACTTAAAATATAAAAAGCAACCAATAACAACTCATCTATACTTTGTAATATTACCAACTGTCCATTCAAATGCACCAGTACTTTGATTTTATAACTGAACAGTCCCTGGATTCATGTTCTTTAAATCACCATGCCTATAATTGGCGAAAAATTTTAACAATCTAAGCATTCATCAGAAAAGGATTATTTAAGGGCCGGCCCCGTGGCTCACTCAGGAGAGTGTGGCGCTGGTAGCGCCAAGGCCACGGGGTCAGATCCTATATAGGGATGGCCGATGCGCTCACTGGCTGAGCATGGTGCGGACCACACTGTACCAAGGGTTGTGATCCCCTTACCGGTCAGAAAAAAAAAAAAAAAAAAGAAAAGGATTATTTAAAAAATCATCTATATCAACTAAAAAAAAATGCAAGCAATTAAGATTATCCATATGATGACTGTACCAACACTGACAACTTCTATGTAACATCTTCTCCAACTTTGCAGCACTTATCATCCAACAGACCCATACAGTTTGTTTTGTTTATCATCTATCTCTCCTCTCTCTCCCCTCATCCCCTTTAGAACTCTAGCTCTATGAGGGCAGAGATCTTTATCTAGTTTTGTTCAGTGCTACAGTCCTAGCACCTAGAACAGTGCCTAACATATAGTAGATTTCAATAAACATTAATTGAATTAGCTAAAGGAATACACAATAACTAAAAAAGAGATGTGAGATTACCAAACCATTTGACTTGATAGGGTGATAAGCTTATGATCAATGATGCTTTTATTTGAAATACTGTCCATGTTGCTCTATTTTTGTTTGGACACATTTCTACTACACATTTATACCTACCAGACTGCTTCTGAAGTCTTAAAATAAGGCAGAGAAATATTTCAAAAACAGATATGCATATATGTAATGCACACTTGCTTAAATTTCTTTCCTTTTGGGCCTCCTTCCTAGTTAAATCATATCCAGGGAAAACAATGTATATACCAAAGAAGTTCCTCTGACTAGCAATTAGTTCAAGTACTAACATTTTTTGGAAATGTTACAACAAACCCACAAAACTAGGAACTACCAAAACACAATGTGTAAGTAGTTGGACTAAACATTATGGTCTAAACCAGTAGTTATCAATATTTGACAATGAATAGAATGGTTGTCACGACTTTGGGGAAGGAAGCAAAACTTGGTAAAGACCAGGGATGCTGCTAAACATCCTACAATGCACGGGAAAGCCCCCCATAACAAAGAATTATCCAGCTCAAAAGATCAGCACTGCCAAGGTTGTGAAACCCAGGTCTAAATAAAAGATTTAATCACACCAGTGAACTGTTCTTCTACTACAGAAGGATGAAACCACTTTTTAAAAATACAAGCTCAAGGTTAACTGGTTAGCTCAGTTGGTTAGAGCATGGTGCTGATAACACCAAGGTCCAGGGTTCAATCCCCGTACTGGGCAGCCATCAAAAAAATAAAAAATTAAACAAATAAAAACAAAAGTTGAATGCAACTGCAATATGCTTCCTCCATAATCTTAAAAACAATAACCTTACACATATTTGTGAACACCAATTAAAATATTAACATAATATTTATCTACAATAAATGGACAGGGGAATCTTTGTCCAAAGATCTAGGCAACTTCCCAAAAGAATGAGGAAAGGATGGATAAACAAAATAAAATAAAACAGATGATATCACAATACAAATACAAATATCACCTCAAGAACCTCCACACTTATCTGCATAGCTATTAAAGAAATGGGTGTGTTTGTGGATGTGTGCCTGCACATGCTAATGGTTATTATGGAATTTCTCATATTAAACATGGGAGAACTTATGGGCCACAAGCATTTTTGCATGTCTTAAATTCTTCCACAAGTGAATGTTAACATAAGGATAAGTAATTAGTTAAGATGCAATAATGTAATTCCATATCAACGCAATGCATGAAGCTGTTACAATTTTAAATGAAAACCAATCAAAATAACAATCCTAGTGATAAAATAGCTTCTCATAGGTAGTATCAATAAGAGTCAATGACTCTACTACCAACAAATCTCATTCCAATTATTAATTTATAAATTTTCATTCAAGACTGACTGAAAGATTATCTGACTCTTGCAACTTTACTCATCTGCAACTCAGCTAATATAGGGAACATGGAAACCTATCACTATAAAAACAAAAAGAATGGCTCTGGAGCCATAAAAAGGCTCAAAAACTCATCAGTTTCAGTACATAGTTAACAGATGCAAAATGCTCAGTAGGTGACTCAATATAAACATTTGAAAAAATTCCTATAAGAAAAGGAAGAAATGGATTCAGAAATTCTAAACAAAAATTGTAATGTTTGTTGAAAGAAAAAAATAAAGTGATACTTTGAAAAAAGGTAGACTTACTGTTAACAATTTATTTTAAAACCTGTTTTTTGATCCATGCAGTACAATAAAAGAAAAAAACTGAATCAGGCTAACCACCTCTGAATATAACAAGTTCCAAGTGAGTCCTATGATCCAGCTGTACAGAAAACATATGTGGGCTAGAGCTCAGGACAAGAGGAGGAGAGGCCTATGGAGATCATGAAGGAGGAAGAAGCTGAGATGAGAGAAAGAAAGGACCACTCGAACCATTTTGAGGCCTAGCCACTTCAAACCTGGCCCTGGTGAGCACCCGGAGCAACACCTGGCAAAAGCCACAGTTGTGCCTTTCATATGAAGTTGCTTGGAGGCTGCAGGGGAGAAAAGGGCCTTGGTCGCCTCCAGGCCAAGTAGACCACTAACGGGGTTCCTGTGGACCCACATAGGAACAAGGGCCCACAGACAACTGAAAAAAGAAGCCACTCAGAGGCCAGTGAGTCATAGCAAGGGACCAGCACATGGCCCATCCCTGGGTGGTGGGGGAGACGGGCCCACCAGGGGAACACTGGGGCACAGCATGGACAGGTGATTTGCCCTCCAATTAGCACAGGATCACTCAGTGGAGACTGGTCAGGAATACAGAACTTCAGGGGGTGCAGTCTGCTGAAAAGATGCAGGCCCAGACCACAGTTTCCAGACAACTCAGATATACCAGACCTCACAAGACCAGGAAGTGCTTACTAGGTTAACAATTAAAACCTGCGCTGCACAAAAACCCTTTCCCAGAGAATCAACTGCAAAGCAGCAATTTAGCTCAACCACAGAGCTCAAGTGCTGGTCCCCACAGGAAGTTACCCCATTTTAAAAGTAAACAAAGGACAACAAATTAGTTCCAGTGCAGAGTTTAAGAGGTAGAAGTAGCTAATAATCCAACACAGAACTGAAAGAAAGAACAAAAAACGACAGATCACAGACAAAATTTTGATATTAACCAATGAAGGTCTAACACCACCCAAAGAATTCCTATAAAACCCAGAAGGACTGGAAGATCCCAGGCTTCCAAGCTGGGGTGGGGAGAGGGCCTCAGCCACATACTACCCCCCAACCAGGTCTGCTTCCAGCCCAGTAATGAGTGAGCCCTCTCCAGAAGCCCCCCAGGCTCCCAAGCTGGATTAGGGGTGGGTGGGGGGCCAAGGGACTCAGCGACACCCCACCCCTCTATATCCGCATCCAGCCCAGCAGCAATCACCAGGCTGCTGCTGGAAGTGCCTCAGGCTTCCCAAGCAGGGATGGGGGGATCAAGGGCCTCAGCCACACCAACTCCAATCCACATCCAGCCCAGTGAGGACAACCAGGCTGCCGCCAGAAGAACCCCAGGTTCCCAAGCCAGTGCAGTGGCGAGGGCAGGGGGTGGCCAAAGCCTCGGCCACGCCCTCTGACATATGCATTCAGCCCAGCGAAGACCACCAGGCCGAAGACTACCAGGCCACTGCCAGAAGTGCCCCAGGTGGGCCGAGGGCCTCAGCCACGTCCCCCTGATGCCTGCATCCAGCCAAGCCACAACCAAGCCCCAGCCAGAAGCCCCCTGGGCTCCTCTATCAGAATGAGGGGGGTGCCAGGTCCTGACCATGCCCCCTCCCCCTTCCCCATCCTCCCACCCTATTACCCTCCCCCTTCCTCTCTCCCCCTCCACCCTGACTGCTCCATATCTTAGAATGTAAAAAATAATAAGAAGAAACAAACAGAAAAAAAAACATATTCGTAAGAGGGTCAGAGAATGTCTTTGCATTGACCTTAATACATAAATCAGAGGCACCCACCAATTTTAGGCTCACAGGTGTTTAAAATTTAAGAAAAAAGTAAGATGGACAAACATTATCAAAAGGAAAAACTATTTCTCTGACAACATACTGCTTAAGGATATACACACATTATAAAATGCCCAGCTGTGACAGCAACAGACATAAAGGAAGTAGTTATAATTTCTTAATATCACTGAATTTCTCTAGAAGCCCAATTCAAAAAATAAATGGACAGGGGCCGGCCTGGTGGCGCACTGCTATAGTGCGTCGCTTGGGAAGCGCGGCGGCGCTCCCGCCGAGGGGTCGGATCCCACATACAGACCAGTTCCGCTCACTGGCTGAGCGAGGCGCGGGAGCAATACTGAGGGCTGCGATCCCATTGCCGGTCCCGGTACGGTACGGGGGTGACACTGAGGGTTGCGATCCGTTGCCGGACACGGAAAAAGACAAAAATAAATAAATAAATAAATAAATGGACTACATAAGATAAGCCAGAAAAAATAATTTTAAAATTCGAGATATAGGGCTGGCCCCGTGGCTCACTCGGGAGAGTGCGGTGCTGACAACACCAAGGCCACGGGTTCGGATCCCATATAGGGATGGCCGGTTTGCTCACTGGGTGAGCGTGGTGCTGACAACACCAAGTCAAGGGTTAAGATCCCCTTACCGGTCATCTTTTAAAAAAAAAAAAAATTCGAGATATATATAATATTATATGCCAACTTTACAAATTTTCCTATATCATGAACATGTACCTACATTACATACACACAAATACCATTTGGCTCTATGAACAAAAACATTTCCGCACTTCTTGGTTCTTTAACCTTTCTGCCTGCCTCTACCATTATTTTTCCATCCCTATTCCATTCCAACTAAGCCCTAATTTTAGTCAACACCAAAAAATTACCCCAACAAGGACAATTTTGTTTTCTTTCTTTAGCTTGGAGTCTGATGTCCAATTTGATATTTTACTTCCTTTAGGCAAGTGTCCAAGAAAAAACTTTAGGCATATTCCAAGCCTAGAATCAAAGCTATCTTCTGGCTTTTGCTAGGAAGTTCTATCAAACCAGAGATAAAGACCCTATAATAGTAATATCACCATTAAGCAATACCTTGCGTTATTATTGGACATTCTGTCGCACATATTACCTTATATATATATTTTTTTCCTTCTTTCTCACTATTCTTCTACTCCTGGTTCTTGTCTCCTCCTTTTCTTCATTCTCCTCCCACCCTATATCTTAGGCCTAATAAGACCAATCATAAAAAGTAAACAGTAATACGGGGAAGTAGTACTATCAAAGAAGTTGCCATTCCCTTGACGAGACCATACAGTCCCAAAGAGCAAATGAGAAATTAATCTCTAAAATACTATACTTACTGTTTACATGTCAACCTTTCTAAAAGGTAAGGGATCTGAAATCAGTAATAAATGACTGATTGACAAGAATCAAATTACGTTACCTTGAGAAAGCTGCATTAAGTGAATATACAAACTGCCAGGAATAACAGGTTCAGGAAGTTCTTGAAGGAAAAACCTAAGAAGACTAATAGCTGAGGGAACATCTGCTTCCTTAACCAAATCCACTTCTTCTCCACTGTCGTATCTCTGCCGAAGCCACTCCACTGTCTCAGCATTTCCATTGACTTGAAAAAGTCCTTGTTGCTCCAGACCTCCTACATTAGTTCAAGGCAAAAATTAAATAAGCTGCAACTTCAACTACTTGACCATATATATTCATTCTCCAGTGAATTTAAAATACTCATATTCTTGGAAAGCCTTTCTTGGCTCCCCTGATTTGGTTAAAAACCTTCAAATTATACATCTAGAAACGTACTGTTTCTGTCCTGAGGGATATTCTATTTTATCCCACCCCTTATGTCCATTAAAAATATTCCTATCACCCCCACTAAAAAATGTTCTAGGCTGGGCAACTGTCATTTCTAAGTATATGAAATTAAGTAAAAAATACACTAAAACATTAAAAAGAATTTCTATAGGTTTTCCTCGCTACATTTTGGACTTTCCATACTTAAAAAAAAAATTTTTTTTAAATCCAAGGTGAAAAGGGATAAGTTGTGTTTATTACAACAAAAGCTAGCCCTCAAAGTAAGGAAATGTATACCATGTTCCTCAATATAGTCCACAACGTGGCGGACTATGAATGGAACCTCATTGTCTGGATGTCCTCCCTGCTGCAGCTCATCAAGTGGAATTCCAAATATTTTGTTAGCAAGAACGGAGTTGCAGTTACTCAAGGAAGGGGAGGAGCTCTTCCTCATATCTTTTTTGCAGCCAGAAATCAAAGCTGTCTTTTCTGCCAAATAAAAGACAAAAAAAAAAAAAAGACTATAATGATTAACAGGTGGCAATATGACTAAATACATTAAAGAAAAATGCTTTACACCTGAATGTCTTCTTATCTATTTAAATGTTCCATTTATCAGGCCCATAGTGTGTTCTACAAATAAAGTGCCATACAATTATCTAAGCATTTTCTCTACTATGAAGAGTCGGTACTGAATACTTCCTTCAATGTTTGCAAATTTATCAAACAATGGCAAAATTGATCATCCAAAATTTAGCAAGGGGCATTAAAGTCACAAACACAAACTAAGGGGCAAATATGGCTCCAAGAGGACTTTTACTGACCAAAGTTATTAATGACACAAGTCATTAAAAAGCCAGACCCAATCCATCTCTGGATTCTGCTGTATAAACTTCATCTAACCTCTCAATTCATAAACACTCAAACAGGAAAGATTCACTTTTTATAAAGTGATAGGCTATAATCACTTTATAAATGATGGTCTAATAGGAACAAGATTAAAACAGTTCTTATTTCTACATGACAGAGCAACTATATATATTACGTTTCTATTTTTTAAAAAAAGGAAAATCTTCAGTTCTGGCCAGCAACTTTCAATGAGAAAAGCCCTTTCATCAACATTGTTGTTTCATAATTATTCAAAAGAAAAATACCCAGAGCCAATCTAGTTCAGAAGGAATAGTTATTTGTTTTAACTTTGTGGGAATTATGATCAGTAAAGAAGCAGGCGGGAGGAAACAACGTCTCAGATGACGTTGATATGAAGCATCAAAGAACAAGTAATCCCAAGAAAAATCTGGTTTTTTAAAATAAACACATTACTTTATGTGGGAAAGAAGTATTTTTAAAAGAAAAAAAATATTTTTCAAAGGTTGGTAATGAACAAAATGACACCAACTGGCCTATTTCCATTATCCCAGGGAAACAACTGCTTTCTCACTGTGAGAGAAAGATAACACATCACAAAGATGAATGTACTCAAAATTTTAACACTTACAAAAATGAGGTCCACTAGATCAAGTGTATACCTGCTGGATCAAGAGAGTATCAGAACATCACTAGGAAAAATCCAGCCATTTTACAGAAACACTAGAAATTAACTTAGAGACAGCAAACTGCCATAAATTTACATACTCTTAGACAAGCAACATCCATTCTTCAATACATCTGGTGACAGCTAATAACTACAAAACCTCAAGTTAATAATCAAATAGCAGGTATAGGGGGCAAACTCCAAAATCTCTGTGGATTATACAGAGCATGCGACAGTTATCATTTTGAAAACTTACCTTTGAGTACTTAAACACCTAAGTTTAAAAAATGGCTTCTGCACCAGCTACCCTCACTGAGCAAGCATTCTTTTGTCATTTATGGCTGTTTGAGATTATGGCAGAAGATCAGCCTGTAGTTCCTCATTGAAGAAACGCAGAACTCGATCAGTACTTCAGCAGTTAATCTAGAAGAAAAACAATTATTTCAATTTCCCACACCTTTAACCGTGAGAACAGACTAGAATAAGCAATAAACAGGTAATCTATGCTGAATGGCATTGTTCTACCTAAAAAAATCTGTATGTAACCTAATTAAAGGCAAAATCTTGCAAAGATTTCAAATTATGACAGCTAAACTGGATAAGATCTTTCTGCTGATAAATAAACAAATCAATAAACTGCAAAGGAGAATCTTGTACAGCACACATCCTCAGGAATTACACCATTCAAATAATCCATTGTCCTCAACGGACCCTTCATTTGCACACACACACCCTACCCCATCCCATCCCTCCCTCATTTCCTCATACACTCAGAACTAAACAGAAGTATTTTCAGAAGATCAAAGAATCAAAGGTGTGTTTTAAGCTTATGTACTTCTTTTCTGTGCTTACAAATATAGTGGTTGTCTGAGCTATTTGATTTGGAGAAGCAATAGCAATGTGTAGAAAAGTACTGGAAAAAAAGAACCAAGATGGTTTAGATTCAAATATCAACTCCACTATTTTGTAGATATGTGACCCCCAAACACTTCCATGTCTCTAAGCCTAGGTTTCCTTATATAAAATAAGAATACCAATACAGCTGTGAAGCTTAACTAACATACATGTAGTAGACAGAGAACCATCTTCTCTCTTTTCTTTGCATAATGCTAAGAGATTAGCAAATAAGCGGGGGGGGGGGGTT